TGTATTCTGTTTGCCAGTATGTTGTTGAGGATTTTTGCATCTATGTTCATTAGGGAGATTGGCCTGTAGTTCTCTTTTTGGGTTGGGTCCTTCCCTGGTTTTGGAATCAAAGGCACACTTGCTTCCAGAAATGAATTTGGAAGCCTTGCTTCTCTTTCAATTTCCTTGATGAGTTTAAAGAGCAATGGCAATAGTTCTTTTTTAAAAGTCTTGTAGAATTCAGCAGTGAAGCTATTAGGACCTGGGCTTTTCTTTGTTGGTAAGTTTTTTATTACACTTTCAATTTTACTCATTGTAATTGGGGGGGTTAGAGTTTCAATATCTTTTTCATTTAACTTTGTTAATTCTTATGTATCTAGGACTCTATCCATTTCTTCTGTGTTTTCCATTTTATTGATGATCCTCTGGATTTCTGCTGGGTCTGTTGTGACTTCACCTTTTTCGTTCTTCATTGCATGGATCTGAGCCTTTTCTTTCCTTTTTTTGATAAGGTTGGCTAAAGGTTTATCAATTTTATTTATTCTTTTGAAAAACCAACTCTTTGATTAATTTTTTGTATCGTTCTCTTAGTCTCCATTGCATTGATTTCTGCTCTGATCTTTATAATTTCCTTTCTTGTACAAGCTTTGGGTTTATTATGCTCTTTTTCTAGGAGCTTGAGGTTCTGCATTAGGTTATTTAACTGAGTTCTCTGTTTTCCTAATATGGGCACTCACTGCTATGAATTTCCTGCGTAGAACTGCCTTCATTGTGTCCCATAAATTTCTGTGTGTTGTAATGGCACTGTCATTTACTTGTAGAAACTGTCCAATTTCTTCATTAATTTCCTCTTGGACCCATTGCTGTTCAGGAGGATGTTATTCAATTTCCATGTGTTTGTGGGAGTTTTGCAGTTTCTTATGTTATTGACCTCCAGTTTTATTGCACTGTGGTCTGATAACCATAGGGGTAACTTCATTTTTTTTACATTTACGTAGACAAATAAGGTACTTAGGGGTAACTTCAGTTCTTTTACATTTACATAAACATGTCCTATTAGCTCTTATGTGGTCTAGTTTGGAGAATAACCCGTGTGCAGCTGAAAAGAATGTGCATTCTGATTTTGTGAGGTGAAAGACTCTGTAAACATCTATTAAGACCATTTGTTCAATAGCTTGGTTCAATTCTAGAATTTTGTTATTAATTTTTTGTCTAGATGATCTGTCTACTTGTGATGGTGGGGTATTGAAGTCC